GCTGAATGCTGAACTGAGTTTTCTGGCTGGAACAACATTCCCTGCCCCAGTCAGGCTTCCCCTACCCCTGGAAGTGCTTAACACCTATCCCTGTACCTTCTCCCTTGGGAGAAGGCAGAGCTGTGGCTGTGGGGCTGGGATGAAGGAGGCATCAGGGGCTGGCTGGGTTTCCCTGCTGCCTTGTTCCACCACACCCAGGTTGTGCCACCCTGCCCGTGGACTGCCTGCTCCCTGCCTAACCCCTGGCACTGCCTCCATCCCTTTGGACTTTCACCTCTCAGCAGCAGCCAACCTGGCTCTTTCGCTGCACCTTTAAAGGGATAAGACCAAATTTAGCCCAGTCTGGAAAAGGAGCTGGGGAGAAAGTCATGAAGGGGCATAAGAGTCCCCCACTTGTAGAGGGATAGCCTGGTAGAGCCAGAAGAGGTGTTGCAGGACAGGTTCTGGGTACAACCCAGGGGCAGACACAGTGATTGAACCTGAGCTGTCTGTCTTCTGAGGCATTCTGGAGTCAAGGGCAACATCCCCTGGAAGTATTCTGAGCTTCAGAGAATCCTTTTGGTTGGAAAAGACCTTTCAGATCATCAAGGCCAACCAGTAGCCCAGCACTGTCAAGGCCACCACTAACCCGTGTCCCTCAGCAGCATATCTACACTGCTTTGAAATCCCTCTGGGGATGGGGATCCCACCACTGCCCTGGGCAGCCTGGGCCAGGCTCTGACAACCCTTATGGGGAAGAAATTGTTCCTAATATCCTTAAAGTCATCTCTTGTTCTATCACTCGTTACTTGAGAGAGGAGACCCACACCCTGCTCCCTCAGCTGCTCCTTGGCAGACCTGTGCTCCAGACCCTTTCCCATCTCTGTTCCCTTTCTCTGGACAAGCTCCAGCCCCTCAATCTCCTTCTTTTCATGAGGGCCCCAGAACTGACCCCAGGATTTGAGCTGCAGTGTCACCAGTGCCAAGCACAGGTGGACGATCCCTGCCTTGATCCTACTGGCCACACTGGTGCTGATAGAAGCCAGGATGCTGGTGGCCACCTGAGCACAAGCAGTCTCATATTCAACCAGCTGTCAACCAAAACCATGGCGTGGAAGTTTGCTGGTGCCAATGCACCTCATGCCCACCTTCTGCAGCACTGAACCAAGGCGTGGAGAAGTCTGAGTCCAGAGGGCAGTGTTGACAAGGGGCTGAGGTGACAGTGGCACTTTCCACCGGGTGTTTCAGGGTCTCACTCAGGAGGCAGGGCAGTGAGTGATTGCTGCTCCCCTGCTGGGAGATGAGCATCCCAGAGGAACGGGCGGCGTGTATCATGTTTGCACCGCTGCAATCATTCAAAACCCACTCAGAAAAGAGGGGGGTTTGTGTTTGGTTGGTTTTTTTCCCTGTGCCTGAGCTCGTTTGGCCTGGCTACCTCGGCAAGAAGGGAAATCTGCTGAATGTGGGGGCAATCTGGAGGGGATGGAGCAGCGAGGGACAAGCCCAGAGCCCCGGTGCTGCCCTGGGGAGGTTTAGAGTTACAGGCAGGCGACAGGCAGGCTTTCATCTGCTCTTCCAAGCCTTCTTCAGACAGCAAAGGAGGGGTAGTGACTGGCTGTGGGGGATGGAAGAGAATCGCTGTAACATGATTTTATGTCTGTGATTGCATAACAAAACCTCCTGGGAACCTCCTGATTCAAATGGATACCTAGTCCTGTTTGCTGGATGGAGGACTTTCCAGCAGTGATTGATTGCCCACGCTTTGGTGCTGGGGAATTGCTGGACTGGATCAGTACCAGGCTCCAAGCAGCCTGTGATCCTGGATCTAACCTCCGCCAAAAATCTCAGGAAGGTTGGAAAAAAGCCTTAGGAAGTGGAGAAATCTGCTTTACAACCCCCCCTAACATGCAGATCCACAGTGCCATCTTCTCCCAGGAGCTGCAGCCTGACTGCTGATGGAACTAGACCTTGAGAGATGAAATTGCATTTCCATTTAAAATAAAAAATGAATAAAATAATCATCATCCCTGGGCCTGATGGTATTAACTGGCTGCTCTGTAAACATCAGGTCGTTCTGTGAAGGGTGAAACGCTGCCAGTCTCAACCCAACTGCCAGGAAAACCCTCAGGCTCAGGGAGGGGGTGCAGGAGAATTCACCTTTGCCTCCGGGAATCCCATGGAGTGGAGGATGGAGGAAGCCCAGCTGAGCTGGGTGATGCCTCTGGACACGGGTTTGGCACACACACACATGTCATCTGTTGGCTTTGCTCTCTGAGATGACACGATAGCCCCACCTCATAAATTTGGAGCAAAGCACACAAAGCTTTTTTTTTTTTTTTTTCCCCTTCCATACCAGGCACTTTTAATGGTCTTTCTCCACACCCCGGCCTTATTAATTGGTGACAATTGGAAGTGGTTAATTCTCTGTGTGCGAGGCTGCAATTGCTTCCACTTGGCCAGGATTCAAGTGCTGGGGGTGAGTCAGAATGGGTGGCAAAACTGTCTTTTCCTCAGCTCCTTTGCTTACTGGAAGGAAAAAAAAAGGGGAAAAGGAGAGAAAAAAAAAGAAGAAAAAAAGCCACAAACCCGAGTTATTCTCTTTTATGAGGTAGGCATTGTGAGGCCAGGCAATTGAATTTACAACAGCATTGAGTATCAGAGTCTATCTGGCCCTGTCAATGAGAGTGGCAAGGGAAAAAAAAAGCAGCACATTAACCCTCGGCTCCAAGTTCCCAGGCGTTTCAATAGGGCTCCCAACTTCCCAAAGAGCCCGCTGCATACTCGATGAGACCCTTTATACCTTCTAATTACCCTCCTCACAATAGGGACAGACTCTCTTGGCTCTTTTGTAGGCGAGATAGTAACTTTTAGGCCCCCCCACCCCTCCAGGGGCAGCCCCTCGGCAAGGTGGGAAGGAGCAGAATCCAGGGAGTTTATTTCAGGAGCAGGTAGCAAAGCAGCACACGTGTCTCCTCAGCTTCCAGGAGCAGGTTTTGAAGGAATCCAAAGTGCAAACACGACCCTGGTGAAGCTCTGAGGAGGCATTTAACCCTGCCAGACCCCTCCTCAACCCACTCACCTTCCCTCCCAGCCCTTTGGCACAGGAATCTCTTCCTCTGGCCCTGATTTAAGGCCATGAAATTCACTCCCACACAGCAGGATGAGCTGCTCGGTGCCCACTCACCCAACGAAATGAAGGTGGGGAAGAAATCAATCTATTTCAAAAAGAGTTTATTTATTTAAACACCTGCAATGTTGGGGTTTTTTTTTTTCTCTTTCTCATTATTTTTCCTCTCTTTTTTTTTTTGTGGAAGTCTCCAACACAGCCACACACACACACACACACACACAGACCAACAGGATACAAACAACTTTGGCATGATACTTTTGGATATTTGTTACAAAACTATTTCTCATTTTCGTGTTAAAAAAAAAAGTATCTCAAATAAAGGCGTTTTGAAGGAGTAAAAATACAAGTCGAGATCCCAACCTCTGGAAATAATAAATAGCAAGGTCCTTTCTTGTTTAAATCTGGGGTTTTAAACAAAAAAAAAGCCCCCCCCCCCCCCCCAAGGTAACAGGGCTCCATAGAACGGAGCCAACGAAGAGTTTTAGGGGATTTTTTGTTGTTTGTGGGTGTTTTTTTTAGGGAGAGGGAATGATTTAGGCACAGTCACCAAGGCCTCCAGACGGATTCAGTGCGCTCTGCGATGGGACTCCCCGCCTGGGATGCTGGAACGATGCTGCCCCCAAAGGATGTCAAACCCTGCACCGGGGATGCCGAGGGGGTGACCGGGTTCCCAGAGCCACCACCGGCAGACACCGGGACGTTGGCGTTGGCATAGAGAGGAATAACCGGTCCGGAGCTGGGTGGAAAAGCTGGATTGGGGATGAGAAAAGCAAACTGGCCGTCGGTTGCGGGGACGAGCTGGAAACCCCCGTAGACTTTGGGGGATAAAGCTTCGGCGGGGTTGAGTTTGCAGGGCACGGGCAGGGGTTGCTGAGCCAGATGTGCGGGTTGGTTGGACGGAGGGGGTGGAGGAGGAGGAGGAGGAGGAGGTGGTGGGTAGTTCATGGCCACGATCTGACTCAGGCAGGCCGAGAGGTGGTTGAGGAGGCGGGTGCGCACGTCGGTGTTCACCCCTTCGCAGGTGGAGAGGAACCGCGTCACCTCGTTCATGCACTCGCTGAAGCCGGCGCGGTACTTGCCCAGCACCGTGGGGTCTGTGCTCAGCACGGCTGGGGGGGGAGAAGGGGCAGGCTCCTCGGGGGGTGTGGGTGTGGGTGTGCAGCCCGCCAGCGGTGCACTCTGCAGCCCCTCCGGGCCGCGAACCCAGGCAAGGAGTGCAGCCCCTCCTGCAACACCTCGTGCTTCCAGGTGCTGAGGATCCGGATGGAGAGCACGGTCCCTCCACTACCGACCTCTCCAGCACCAGGGACCCGGGTGGAAACAGACAGCCCCTGGAGTCCTCCTGTGTCCCTAAGCACTGGGGATCCAGGTTGGGAGCACAGCCCCGTTGGTGGCTTCTGTGCCGTCTGTCCCCCTCAAAACAGACTCAGGTGCCAGAGGCAACCCCAGCTGGGCCTGAAGCCCTCCCGGTGCCGGGGATGCAGGCGGGTAGCTCGGTGCCCCCAGCGGCCCCCGGTACCCGGGATGCAGCTGAGAACGCCCCTGGCCCGGGGCACCAGAGAGAGGAACAAGGCACGATGCCCCACGTTGCCCCCCAGCACCAGCGC